TCTGTGCTCTAAAACTTGACGAATAGTGAATATGTGGTCGATACAGCCACGACCAGGTCTGAAGCCAGCCTGATTTTCTCGTGTTTGCAGTTCACGAGTTTTAGTTAGGCGCCCGATAATTATTGAGGCTAGTATTTTAGATGCTATGTTAGTCAGACTTATCCCTCTATGGTTATCGCAGGATGATTTTGACCCCTTTTTATATATTGGGACAATCAGTGATTGTGACCAGTCGGATGGGATTACATCCGTCTCCCATATTTTAGCCAGAATATTAGTCAACCTAATCGCTAAAATCGGACCACCAAATTTAAAGACCTCTGGAGCCAATCCATCTGGACCAGCTGCTCTTCCTCGTTTCAGATTACCTATAGCCTTTTGAACTTCAAGTAGGGTCGGGGGGCCTACTTCAATGTTCCATTCAGGTTTTCTAGGAATAGTGGGTAGTTGTGCAGTAGCTGAAGGCCAGCTAAACTGCTCCTTAAAGTGTTCCGCCCATCGTTCTAAACGTCTGCGCTGAGAGCAGATAAGGGTTCCGTCCTTTTCGGAGATTGTCTCACTTACACTTGACTTCTTAATTCCGGTTTCTTTTATTAGTCTGAATAGTTGCCTGGTGTTCCCTACAGCCGCTGCCTTTTCCATCTCTTTTGCTTTCGTTGCCCACCACTGCTCACGATCGTTCCTTAGACTTTTAGTTAACCTAGATCTAATTTGTTTACGCTCTTCGTCATGTTCAGAGCCTGATGGGATGAGTTTACGCGAATCCATCAGTGAAATAGACTTAGAAGAAATCCATTGGTTTTTTGGAGCCCTATGGTTTAAATTACTAATAGATGTAACTGCTGTTTCCACAGCTGTTCGTATGTCTTTCCAAGCAGCATCTGTGTCAGTCTTGTTTACAGAACTGCCTAGATGTGAACTCAGTTGTTTCTGGAATTCGCATTTGGCTTCCTCGTCCTCCAGTTCAATCCTAATGGGTCTTCTTAGTGTACTTTTCCTGCGTCCATTGAGGCGCAGACAAATGCGCGCTCGTATTAAAGCGTGATCAGAGTCTAAACAAGTATTCCAATACGAGCGACAATCTTCTATTGAGCCTCTCCAACGATGACTGATGACAATATGGTCTATTTGAGTCCATCGTTGGTTTGGTGCAGGTGGTCGCCATGTTAGACCATGTCTCTCCTTATGTTTAAAATTAGTGCTTGCTAAAAATAAACGATATTCTGAGCATAGTTGCAACAGACGATCACCATTATCGGTTCGTTGAGCCGGAATACTAAAACACCCACCTAAATGTCTTTCTGTTTGATTCAAGCTGCCTACCTGGGCATTAAAGTCACCCGCTACGACTACTATGTCTGAGCGCTTAGCTTTCTGAAGAAGCTCAGAGAGCTTTCTGTAAAAGTCATCTTTCATTTCATCATGGCTGCAGTCGGTGGGAGCGTAGGCAGAAACGACGAAAAGGCAACGACGTGTGTCCCTATCCTTCCGAGTTCTTACGGAGCCATTCAGCCGGACAGCACACAGGCGACTGTTAACGGGGATCCATTCTAATAGTGCCTGTTCTGCCCTTGTACTTAGTGCTATGCCAACACCTGCAAGTCCGCGAGAACTAGCCAACGAGTCGCCAGATACACGGAGGGTGTATTTCGTTAACTGTCCATTTTGGCGAGGTGAGGTCAAGTGAATGACCACACTGGGATCCTGTATGCGTGTTTCGGAGACACAGCATACATCAATGGTACGAGATTCTAGGGTTTTAGCTAAGGAGGCCTGTTGACCGATTTGGCATAGGGTACGTACGTTGAAGGCTCCAATGTGTAGTTTGGAGCGAGGTTTAAGTAGACCTGGGACAGCGTTCCGCGCACTAGAATCGTTGGCCATGGTGACACTTGAGGAGGAAACCGGAACAGGAAGTTTAGCGTTGAAAGTCAAGGTAGAAGGAATAGTAGGAATTGAAGGAGATTGATTATGAATACGGTGGTCTTGAGTGCTGTTACGGGTATGAGGGCTAATATCACTTCCCGGTTGCCCACACCGTGGAAGGGTTCTCCTGGGGGTACCTGAAAAGGAAATCGGGTTAGAAGTGGTCTTAATGACCTGAGAGCGTGACCGCAGTGCCCAAGGGACAACTGCTTGAGGCCGGACATGCACGACCTTTTTGTGGGGGATTTTTGAAGTGTTAGCTCCGTTCTTCAAAGGACCTTACCGCCGGAGACGGAAATCCGTGGGATAAGGCGAGGTGTGCATTTTTAGGGTTGACCTTTTCTAACCCCACCACTCCTTGTGGGAAGGCAGCATCGCTGTCATGCTGGTTGTCTGAAGGAAACACCTTACTGCCGTCACACCTCTGTACAGTCGGCAGTACGACTTCGTTTTCGGACCTTGGGATTGCTGCTTTTAGTCTTACCGCTCTTCAACCGACCTGTCTGGCATGGTAGGACCTCGAGGAACGATTGTTCCAGCCAGCATAGCTTAATTGCTTCATCACGATAGGTAAGACCGACCACCACGTCAAGGTAGCAGCAACGGTCGGGATATACATACATCTCTTCAGTTATGTCATGTTTGTTCTGTACGGTTGTCATAGTTAACACAGTACATGAATACCATGAATGAGTAACTCATGTTAGGTGCTAACTTTGAGGTGTGCTTTCGACATAGGCTCGGGGGTTAAACGACTACTGTCAAGCTACAGTAGACCGGAGCATTCAAATGGGTCACCTAACTGGCGACCAGTAAATCTGACTATAAGTTGACTCAACTAAAGCTATGTAAGATCAGGTTTGTGCATCTCCTTAAGAAGGAAATACTCTGCCTGATTTTTGTTTTCCTTCATCCTAACTGCTTTGGAGGATGCACTTTATTTGTTTATTGACTTTGTCTGAGGATTTTCGTATCCTGGAGATTAAATCTCACTATAAGTTTACCGTTTTTTAGTGATCCTACCATTGTAACGTTTCATCGTGCGTCAGATACTACCTATCTAAATCTTTTGGTGCAAGCGAAATGTCATCAAGCACTAGCCATATTACACATCAAGTCAATTATGGTAGCTGTTAAAGAATTCATAAATTCACTCGAGCACTGCTAACAACCCAATATTGCCTAAAACGTTTTGAGTTAAGGAGTTTACATGAAAAGAATTAAATCGAACCAAACAGAGTTAAACTGTTTCTATAGTCCAACTTAGTTGAAAACAGCTTTATAAACAAAGAATAATCCTTTCAATAAATTGCAATCAGGTTATGCATATGTACGTTCTAAATTATGCTCTGAAGCAGGCGAAAATGAAAAAGCTATCGGTAACTCAGTATGAGTAAAGAAGGAGACACTGGTTTCATGCTGTAAATGGGACCTAACTAAGCTACTAAGATTTAAGAGGGAAGTAATATTTTGTAACGAGTCACATATGCACCACTTCATACTTCACAGATTATCGTCTGGTCAACTTGAAAGTCCGGTCCGATTCTACCGAAGCTATAGAATATCCTCCTGGCTCCCGACGTCACTCAACGACTCTATATGATCAACAAAATGATGCATCGTAAGCTGTTGAGGATGTCATAATTTTGACAACGCCATTGCACGTGACACCTTTATAATCGAAGTATGGTAATCTAGTCAAATCAGAAGTCAACAAACGAAGGAGGTTGAACATATATTTAAAAGACTATCAATATATATCGGGAAGCATTTAAACTAATCTGACTGACTGTCGTAAGAGGTGTGTATCACGGCGTATCCAGTCATCATCCGGTGCGGTTGCGTGACAGATCGCCTTCAGCTAGATGTGCCCATTCAAAATAGCGAGGTCATGGTTGTATGTCGAAGACTTACAGAACTATTTATTTTGGAGATTTATTTACCACTGCATTATCTACTGAGGAAGATCACCTATGTGAAGCAAAAACAGCAAAGGACTGGGAGTCAAATGAATGGCATCAGGTAGGGCCTTTCGTCATATTCAGGGAACGATAACTAAAGGGCTGCCAATCTGTATATTTGGGTAAATGGAAGAAGGGTAGCATCGAGGGGAGTGGGTACCAAGAAATGTCATGGAATCCTGACCGTGTTAATAATTTCATTAAAATAATGAAATTGACATCAATTGCTGAAAACCTGTTGGAATGGATATTTGTTCAGTATGATAAATTGAGTCGTGATAGAACGCTACGAAAATACCATACGGAAATTTCTCTCTAGAAGTTTCCTTAGTGGAAAAAGATCTAGGAGTGCTGGTACCCTACGATTCAAAGTCTTATGCTAATTGTGAAAAAACGCCTTTCCAGCAAACCTTGCGCCGGTAACATTGAAGCTCGTTTTTTGGCCAGTTTGATGGAAGAACTTTCTACATAACCTTCGACAGTTTTATTCGTCCCCATCTAAAGTATGGAAACGTAGTATTTCCTCCCTCTCTCCAAAAGGATAAGGACACTCTGGAACATATCCGACGGCGAGCCACGAAATCAGTTCGGGGACTCAAATTCAAACCTTATGAAGAGCGCCTACGATCACTTAATCTTTACCTGTTAGAGTATAGGCGTCTTAGAGGTTACCTTTTGACGGCTTACAGTGTCCTTAACACTTCTGGATATCCCCTTAATCACTTACTTAAGTTTAGCTCCAACACAAATCTAAGCGGTAACACCTAGAAACTAGAGACAAAACACAACAGAACGGATCCTAGACACAACCTCCACTCCTTAAGAGTAGTCGAATGCCGGAATTCGCTGCCGAATGAGCTAGTCCAAGCGACTTCGTAGGAGTCCTTTAAGAGGAAATTTGACATATTCTTACGGATTATGATTCGCCAATTTCCTCTTCCTCTTTTATCGTTATTGTGCGTAGGTTGCTGCCTGGAGGTGCTACTGATCCACTGCTACCAGATACGGAAGCCCATTAAGCGAAACCTTATTGTATTCTGTCCACAACTATTTGAATCAATTTTAGATGTTAGTTGTTGGAAGGCCGTTCTTCATTTGGCGGTCTCTTCAGACAGGTTCCTACTTGACTTTTGGTTGTTGTGTTTCTCTCTCTGTTTAGTGATCATGTTTTAAAAGTGTCCACTTTTCTGTGATATGGAATTTATTAGATGACAGGGATCAAGTGGAAACTCAATTAGTGTGTGGGAATACTAGTCTTCAACTAAATATTCTTTGAGATATTCCCGATCCACTCAAAATCCTCATCTGTACATCGAACTGAACATTGGCGCAACAGTTCACACTTCGTATTTCTTCATATCCTCACCCCAGAAGTTGTGTCAGGGAGTGTGCGCTTTGTAATGACGAATTAAGTAATGCCAAAAGCTTTTCCGTAAGCCATTAAGTGATGCTAAATGGTGATCTGAGGTGTAAAAACATCCAGGAAGTGCAGGACTTAATGGTCTGATATTTTTAGCCTCAACTGGAGTTGTGGGTTTTTACGACTGGAACTGGTTATGACTAATTTTGACACTGCAACTGATCATAACGAAAATATGATCACATAACTATAGTTATATGGGGTGGATTTTGATAGCCTTCCCTGACTTTGCTACACTGAATTGGCAATCTGTTGACACAGTCCAAACAGTGTAGGACGCTAAGTTCCGAGCATTTTTGGTTGACACAGTTTTTCAAGTGGTAGTGTTAAGGTTTGTTTTCATCCTGTAAGTCCCATCATGACTTCCGAGATTCGTCCTCGCTAATAAATGTCAGTGTGGAAACATACTGAAATGTGTCACCAAATTAGTTGCATCCTGGGATCAACATCATAATTGTTTGCATTTTAGTGATCATACTATAACAGTTTATGTTATCTTCGCTGCTGATAGATATTCACCGCAGTGGGGATGCCGGTGACGATAGTTACCGTATTACAATTTAGCTGTTAATAATCAGATATCTGATTATCTACAAACAACTATGTGTTTGGAAGTCTAGGGGTTGTTTTTCAGACTGACTACCCTGTTCTAAACCCTTTAGCTCCTTTATTTCTCAACATTATACTACTTTATATAATATATTTCTTGTTCAGCGAACTTGGTAACGAAGAGCTTGGTCATTTTACGTAACCTAACTATTGATATCTAGTAGCAAACCAAGTACTAACCGAGGTTTGTAGTCTTGTAAGTCGAAATGAACCACCATTGATATTCGCATTATTCATTTTTCAAGACGTGGAAATCTGCGCGCAGCGAAAGACCATCAAATGCGGCATACAAAATTAAATGTTGGTCGTAGCTCACTCGGTTCAATAATAATTGTCTAACTTACAAGCAAATTCTGTTTTTTTATTCAGAGCATTTTGCATAGACCGTCTATAGTCACTCCAACAATCGGCCTCGACCTAACCGAGGACCATTTTTGTCTGTTTTTTGTACTCAGTGTATTTACTTGAGATGATAAGACTTCGGAATTTTTTCTGCTTTCGTGTTTATATATTTGTTTGTCTACTTCCATCCGAAATATTTTTACTACGGATTGATTATTTGTACAGACTCATAAGTTTTTCGTTGCCACAGTATTCACAACTAGTGAAAAGTATGTCTATACATAGTCACCTTGTTTTCTCCTCATTCACATCTTAATACTTCTCAAAAGTCATCGTTTAACTAATAAGATACTTGGGAACATGTTTTGTTCTGTGCCGGATTAGACTTAACAAGATTTGTTTGCTTTTCATGTGAGTACAGGTTGTTTACAATCACAATTCAACGGCTTTTTTTCAGTTATGGGGTCAGTTTTATTTTGCAAAGCGCCTTTCAATTAGTTTAGTAGACCTGTTTTAATTCACTTAATTTTTTTAAAGATATTTGACGTCTTGGTATACTATCCAAATATTGACATGAGTCCGAGTTTTTCCCAATGATTAGCAGGATTTGGAATTGAGAATTGTCTGGGTAAAATATAGACCACACTTCAGGTCATAAATATATAATTATATGCATGAGTAACAATTAAGTTATGAAGTTATATTTCAGTAAACTATTCATTCTACCACTAGCAATCGTTGAATGATGAATCATAGACTCAAATGCCCTGGTACGACCGAGGGTGGAGAGAGTCAGCTCTCCCTCGCGAAATGCTCTCACATGACCACACGTATCCAGCCACTGCTAGGGAGGTCCTACCCACTGCGTTCTCGCGTTGGGGGTCGTGTACGAAATTGAGAGTGCACAAAGCGAGTGTCCGGCGCTTTAAACGGGTTGGTGGGTACGGAGTAGTTGGAAAACCTTGATTCTAAACCAATGGTGCACATGGGCATCAGGATCGTGTAGCAAAATGGCAAATGAACCAATTGTTGGCCACCAGCTACCATGTGACTGCATCTTCTAACGTTGCTTCACTGCCTTATGGATTAGATCTTTAGGTCAAAGGCTCGGGGAGTGACCCCCTAATGAAACAACCTGCTTCGATTTGGGGAGCCGGGCAATATCCCAACCCTCACACAAGTCGAATGACTTGTGTGGCGGATATGTATTTGGTGCCTCCTTGTACCAATGTTTATGTTTATAGAGCCAGGTCACGGAATGATTTCACTAAGTTATATCCTATTGCTAAAGTTGTAAATTTTTACGAATAAATTAGTTTGTGGCCTTTTTAACTGCCTTATTGGGTGTTCTTACTAAAACTGTAATGCTAGCCAAAGTAAATGTGCTATTTAATGTGTATTTGTTTTTTCCATAACTTGTCCTTTTCCTTTTGATCTTTTAGTTCTCCCTTTCCCCCATATAATGTTCGTGCTGAATAATGGGAGTTCACTTCCCCCATTGAATCTTATAACTATGGCTACTGTAATCGAAGCAAATGGGCCAGTTTACAATGGACCTGGAGCCAGCAAACCTAGCTCCCCATTTGTACTCTGTAATCTTGAGTTATCTCAGCGTGCTGCTGTAGAAAAGGCCAAAAAGTATGCAATGGAACAAAGTATACGTTCGGTGCTTTTACGTCAAACTCAGTCACAGCAGTCCCTTCAACTAAATAATATAAAAAAGAATCAAACTGTTGCACTCCTGAATCGAGTTTACGTTGGTTCAATAGCATATGATGTAAAAGAAGATAGTCTAAAACAGGTGTTTTCACCGTTTGGTCCTATTAAGTCTGTGAATTTAAGTTGGGATCCTTCTACACAAAAACATAAAGGGTTCGCATTTCTTGAATTTGAATATCCCGAAGCTGCACAATTAGCTATTGACCAGATGAACGGTACTAGCTTTGGTGGGAGGCAGTTAAAAGTTGGTAGACCAAGTAACCTAACAAACGCCGAACCTGTCATAAATGAGCTAGTTAATGAGCACAATCTTCATAACCGCATTTACGTTGCTGGCATACACTTAGATCTCACTGAAGATGATGTTTCTTTAGTATTTGAAGCTTTTGGGAAAATAGTGTTTTGCAAGTATGTTTCTGCAAATATACACAACCATTTGTTTCTAGGCTTCAACCTGATCCAACTAGACCGATGCGCCATAGAGGTTTCGGTTACATAGAATATGAATCCACTCAGAGTGCAGCTGATGCTGTTGGTAGCATGAATCAGTTCAATCTTGGTGGACAGCTTTTGAGAGTATGCAAAGCTATCTCACCTCCGGACGGTATTTCAAGTGCCAGTTCTTCCAACCTCCCACCCGCGGCAGCTGTGGCTGCGGCTTCGGCCACTGCTAAAGTTTTGTCAATGGAAACAGAGCAGGTAATTATTGACATTATAGTTAGTTCATCTTCTTAGTTGGTCAGTATGTATCTTACAAGCTTCTCTTTCCTTATTATAGCTCCCTGTGAATTCTTATTCAAAGCAACCCGAAGTGGCTCATCCTGTAGTACTGAATACTCTGTCCACAACAACACAGTCTATCAATATTACCAACAGCTCTTTAACTACATGTTCTCCCTCAACAGTCCCAACTACTGGCCAATCGACATTTGACCAGCCTTCATTAAGTGGTAAATCTATATTTTCTCACTTTATCCTAAGTAATTTTGATGCTAGTTTTATCTGCTAATTTCTGCATATTCCGCAATTTTTCTGGGGATTATATGTATACTGAGATAGTATAATAATGATAATGATAACAACAATAAGTTTGCTGACAATTTACTGTATGTGCCTAAACGACCAATATTCTACGTAATATTCTAACCTGCTCCCAAAATTAACAATCAAAACTCCATGAATCTCAGGCTCGTACATCGTATCCGGCAGGCGTCTGGCTTCGTACATCGTATTATTCTGCACTATTATGTGGTTATATATTATAAAATACAAGACTATGATGCACCAAAAGTAAATACTCATATATTCACTTTTATGTCTCATACTCTAGATTATCCCTCAAACAGGCAACCTTTTAAATTGAAAGTGGTAATTATTTGGCATTCTAAATGTATCGTTCAGTTACAATTTTATTAATGTGCCTGAGGCTACATACATGAGTAAAGTCAAAAATGATAATAGCAGATTCAAAGCACTAAACCTTGAAATGTTCATCTTGTTTGAAATTGCAATCTGACGCTTTATACGTGAATAATGTCTAATGCTGATTTATTCATAACTATACTTCAAAAATTTAAATTTCATATATTTGCGCTACAGAATTCCGTTTCAATCTTTTGAGTAAAATAGTTCCCCACATAATTGTACTATATATTGTGTATGGTTTTATTGCAATATTAATGTTCATTAGATTGGCTATTGATACTCAAACTTTATAACTCGATCTTGTACTCACATTTTAAAAAATTTTAACAGCTGAATTTAATGCAACATTCCCACAAGTGACTAATTACAATGAGAATTCTAATGCTGTTGCTGTAGGGACTTGGCAATCTGAGGTGCCCGGGCATTATTCACACGCCCAACCTTCCTCTGCATCTCCAAGTAGCTTCACATCACATTCTGCTTCCTCCGGAAATCCAAACGTTTTCTCAGGCGGGTAAGTATGGACATTTTAAAGTATACATCAACTTCTTGTTTAAATACTACGTATAGTATCATCTTATATGTTTGCTAGGTTAGTTTTCTTACCGTTGCTGCTACCTTGACTTGGTGGTCGGACTTGCCTATCGTGATAAACCAGTAGAGCTATACTGGCTGGGACAGTCGTTCCTCAAGGTCTTATCATGCCAGACAGGTCGGTTGAAGAACAGTAAGACTAAAACAGCAAACCCAAAGTCCGAGGACGAAATTGTATTGTTGACTGTATAGAAGTGTAGTAGCAGTAAGGTGTTTCCCTCAGACAACCAGCATAACGATGATGCTGCCTTCCTACAAAGAAAGGATGGGGTTTGAAAAGGTCGACCCTAAAAGTGCACACCTCGCCTTATCCCATGGATATCCGTTTCCGGCGGTAAGGTCTCAACAAGTACGAAGCTAACACAAAACCACCCATAAAATGGTTGTGTGTGATCGGCTTTAATTAGTTGTCCCTTGGGCATTGCGGTCACGCTCTCAGGTCACTAAGACCATCCCTAACCCGATTTCTTTTTCAGGTATCTCTAGCAGAACCCTTCCATGGTGTGGGCTCAGTCAGTCAGTCAGTTACAACGTAGAACGTTGTACGTACGTACATCAGTTCGAGTTGCCATACCACATTAGCACAGGAATGAAGTTGTCGATTCAAATCCCATAATGGTAGAAGTAGTAAGAGTATAAGCAGTAATCGGAAAGATTAAGGTTTGAAGATGTTATTGAAGGAGTATAATACAATGAAATAAATTTCGAAAGAGAAAAAAGATAGAGATACAAAGAATTCAGAAGATTAGAGTTTGGTAGTACACAATTAGTGGACGCACCTTCGCCATTTTGAGCCATGTCATTCAAGGTCTCTAACCATTGGTTGCTATCATCTCGCGGATTCCAACCGTGAAGTCTACACCTACCAACATGGCCCAGTCCACTTGTCAGTGACTTCATGGATTTATGCCATGTTTTGGTCTGGCCGCCCCTAGCTTTCTTCCAACCTGCTCCTACACCATAAAGCATTGCACGTTGGGGCAGTCGGTGGTTGGGCATACGTAACACGTCCCAGCCATCTCAACTGATGAAGTTTCACTACTTCATCAATCGATTTGCCATCCTTACCTAGTACCCGTTTCCTAACATCTGCATTACTTACCCGGTGGTCCCAGGATATACGAGCAATGCTTCGTAGACACCTATGATCGAATACTAGTAGCCTACAAATATCCTCTACTCTTATCGGCCATGTTTCAATTCCATAAAGTAGGACGGAACGGACTGCTGCACAGTAAACCCGTCCTTTTGTTGTTAGACGGATATCTCGCCTACGTCATAAATGGCGCAAGTTGGCGAAAGCTAGACGAGCCTTCTGTATCATTGCTGAGATTTCGTCACACACCAGACCACAAGGGCTGATGAGACTCCCAAGATAAGTGAAGCTGTCAACATGCTCAACTACTTCACTCCCTATCGTTAGTTCAGGTGTCGATGCAACCCAATCCTGAAGTAACATTTTGCACTTCGAGGGAGAGAATCGCATCCCGAACATGCCTGCATTGTTGCTTATAGTGGTCAGAAGACTCTGCATTTTGTCAGAGTCTTCACCGAATAAAACTATGTCGTCGTCGTATTCTAAGTCAACAAGTGAGCCTCCTGGTAAAAGTTCAACTCTTGGAGATTGAGATGATGAAAGTGATACCTCTAAAAGTATATCAACGACAAAGTTAAACAAGAATGGGGAGAGTGGACAGCCCTGACGAACACCACTTGAGGTAACCGATTCTGATGACAGTTCGCCATAGGCTTTAACTCGACCAGTTGTGTTCGAGTAGAGAGCCTTTATGAGGTTAATGTACTTCTTTGGTACTCCTTTCAGTGACAAACACTGCCATAGATCCTCACGATCAACGGAGTCAAATGCCGCCTTAAGGTCAAAAAGTACTACTATTGTGGGACGTCTGAATGTATGTCTATGTTCTAGGACCTGACGTAGAGTGAATATCTGGTCTATGCAACCACGTCCAGGTCGAAAACCAGCCTGGTTTTCTCTAGTCTGCTCTTCACGAGCTTTGGTTAGGCGTCCAAGTATTATTGAAGCTAATATTTTAGACACTATATTAGTCAAACTGATTCCTTTGTGATTGTCACAGGAGGACTTTTGTCCTTTCTTATAGACTGGTACAATCAGTGATTGGGACCAGTCAGATGGAATTACGTCTAGTTCCCAGATTCTACCTAAGACCTCAGTCATTCTCACTGCTAGTACTGGACCACCATCCTTAAAAATCTCAGGGGTAAACTTGTCAGGGCTTGCTGCTCTCCCTCGCTTTAGATTTCCTATAGCTTTTTCAACCTCGTAGAGAGTTGGAGGACTTACCTCAATTTGCCATTCAGGACGACTGGGGATCGTGGGTAACTGAAGTGTGGCTGAAGGCCAGTTGAACTGATCCCTAAAGTGTTCTGCCCATCGATCCAATCTCCTGGATTGAGAATGAATAATATGCCCATCTTTATCTGAGATAGTTTCACTGATACTTGGGTTCCTAATCCCGGTTTCTTTAATAAGTCTGAATAGCCTACTGTTACCTATTGCCACTGCCTTTTCCATCTCTCTTGCTTTCGCTACCCACCACTGTTCACGATCATTGCGTAGACTTCTTATTAGCCTTCGCCTAAGCTGACTCCGCTCTTCGTTATTTTCAGAGCCAGGAGGGATGAGTTTTCGAGCATCTATCAGTGCGGTAGATGCTGCCGAGATCCATTGTTTCTCTCTAACCTTATGGCTTACCTTACTAGCGGATATCACAGCTGTTTCCACAGCTTTTCGGATGTCATTCCACGCTGCTTCGGAGTGGACACAACTTACATGTCTGTCTAACTGTTTTTCCAGTTGTTCCTGAAATATATTCTTAGCTTGCTTATCATTAAGTAGAACCCTTAGAGGCTTCCCTGCAGTGTCTTTCCTACGACCAGTAAGTCGCAGGCAAATACGTGCTCGCACTATAGCATGATCTGAATCTAAACATGTGCCCCAGAATGAGCGACAGTCTTCTATCGAGCCCCTCCATCGGTGGCTGATAGCGATGTGATCTAATTGGGTCCAACGTTGGGACGAATTCGGGGGTCGCCATGTCAAAAAGATGTTTTTCCTTATGCTTAAAGTTAGTATTTGCAAGAAATAGGCGGTTATCTGAGCACAGCTGCAACAGACGGTCGCCATTATCTGTTCTTTCCGCCATGACACCATAAGATCCTCCCAGGTGTCTTTCCCTTTCACTTAGTTTACCTACTTGAGCATTAAAGTCACCAGCCACCATTACTACATCAGAACGCCTAGCTTTTCGGAGAAAGTCAGAAAGTTTCCTGTAAAACTCATCTTTTATATCGTCTGAGCTACAGTCAGTGGGAGAGTAGGCAGAGACGACGAAGAGACAACGACGAGTTTCCCTATCTTTCCCAGTCCTTACTGATCCGTTTAGTCGGACAGCGCATAGACGACTGTCTACTGGGATCCAGTCTAAAAGAGCTAGTTCTGCCCTAGGACTTAATGCTATACCTACTCCAGCGAGGCCACGGGAGGCAGCATCAGGGCTTCCAGATACACGAAGCGTGTATCGAGATGGTTCTTTATTTTGATTAGGTGTGTTCAAATGAATGACGCTACTCGGATCTTGTATGCGCGTTTCGGAGACGCAGCATGCATCGATGGTGTAAGATTCTAGAGTCCTAGCTAAGGAAGCCTGTTGTTCTATTTGGCATAATGTTCGGACATTAAAAGTTCCTACATGTAGTTTAGAGCAAGGTTTCAGGAGACCAGGAATAACGTTCCGTGTACTTGAATCGTTTGCCCTAGCGGTGCGAGGGGATAAAAGGACGTGGGAAGGGTTAGTCGTGGAGATAAGAGAGTTGTTAGGAGGTGTAGGAAGGATTTGAAAGTGACCAACTTGGTCTCGTGTGCTGTTACGGGTATGAGGGCTAATACCACTTCCCGGCTGCCCACACTGTGGAAGGGTATTCCTTGAGGGACCTGAGAAAGAAGTTGGATTAGTGTTGGTCTTAACGACCTGGGAGCGTGACCGCAGTGCCCAAGGGACAACTGCTTGAGGCCGGACATGCACGACCTTTTTGTGGGGGATTTTTGAAGTGTTAGCTCCGTTCTTCAAAGGACCTTACCGCCGGAGACGGAAATCCGTGGGATAAGGCGAGGTGTGCATTTTTAGGGTTGACCTTTTCTAACCCCACCACTCCTTGTGGGAAGGCAGCATCGCTGTCATGCTGGTTGTCTGAAGGAAACACCTTACTGCCGTCACACCTCTGTACAGTCGGCAGTACGACTTCGTTTTCGGACCTTGGGATTGCTGCTTTTAGTCTTACCGCTCTTCAACCGACCTGTCTGGCATGGTAGGACCTCGAGGAACGATTGTTCCAGCCAGCATAGCTTAATTGCTTCATCACGATAGGCAAGACCGACCACCACGTCAAGGTAGCAGCAACGGTCGAGCTTACATCACTGAACTTGCTTGGAGTAAACTTGATCGGTTATTAGACAGAATTAACTTAAAATAGAGATTGATATAATAGTTAGATTGTCTCACATTAAAATTACGCTTCAAGAGGATTACGAACTTTTAATCTTATGGTTGTTAAGGCTTACGTTGTCTTAATATAAGATAAATTACTGTCAGCATTCGTAAGCGGAAATATAGGAGTGGAATAAGACAGAAAAACATCAAATTTACAGACTTTATGGTGATTAAAAATTATACGTCAAAATGTAGTATCGATTCACAGCAAAAAAGTCAATGATTTTGTTAATTAATTCTAGAGACAAATCCTTCTTCAGAGAGCTGCTGTCAGGCATAAAAAATATTAAAAAACCAGCTCAAACGTTTTATTACCCTAAAGATCTTAAGCACCCTTCCGTCCATAATGCTTCAAACAACTCACTTTAAAATGGTTTCCCAGTTCTAAACCTCATTACGATTATGAAACCTAACCTGCATAGATTGAAGATGTTCGGCAACTCTCTATGTTCAACCATCCCTGCTTCTAAAGATTTGATTACATATGGTGACAATCTAAGCAATGCCAAGGTCCGGTTATGTGTGCTTAGCTGTAATGATGATAAGTTAATTAGTATCATTTCGAAATATGAAACTGCTTGAAGTAAAATCTAAAAATATGCAACAAAACTGACAAATGAAACAGCATGCAAGATATTTGAGGCACACTCGTCATTCTAGCAGTCCCTTTCTAGTTATGAGAGATTTTGTTTATTTATCTGAACTGTTTAATGTAGTTTTAACTTTCATTTACTAACCTAGTAACAACAGGAACTACTATATGGTATAATAAAATAATAGCACATTTAATACATTTTTCTTCCGAACTTAGTCCAATATCACTATTGGATTTCCATAAGTGAGGATTAAGCCATATTAACATTTCCAATAGTTGAAAGCAATATTTACATATACACAGATATCTTGATACATATATACTGGGAAGTGAAGACTGTCCTCGTACCCCTAACAGCAACTCCAAGACCATTGACTAGCGTTTACGTAATTTGAAGACTAGATCTAACTAGTCAATATTTTTGTTTATAATATACAATTCAACTTGAATCGGACTGGATTCTTTTAAGCAAATGAAATAATGTTAAAAGTTGAATATAATGTATAATATGTTCATAATTGTACATTGTGGTTATGAAAAATTATTAATTAATTAATTTATTTGAGCATATAAATACTGGTACAAAAGGACACCAAAATATATATACTACACACAGTAAAAATGAGATTGTGAAGGGGTAGGTTAAGGAAGGTACTTACTTACGCCTATTTTATTTATTTATTATTTATTTAAACACATAAATATTGGTACAAAGGGGCACCAGATATATATGCGCCTCACAAATTTCATTTGATTTGTGTGAGGGCTGTGATACTGCCCAGGTGCCCAGACTGAAGCAGCTTTGACCTGAGGGTCTAGTCCACAAGGCAGTGGAGCATCGTGAGGAGATGCAGTCCCATGGTAGCCGGTGACCAACGACTGGTTCATACGCCATTCGTTCCTTCCGGATACTGGAGCCCATGTGCACCATTGGTTTGGAATCAGGGTTTTCCAACTCCCCTAGGTGAACTTTCCATGTCCACCAACCCGGTTAAAGCGCCGGACATTCGCTTTTCGTCCTCTCAATTTCGTAAACAACAGTAATGCCACGAGAAGGCAGTGAGTAGGACTTCCCTGGAAGAAGCTATATATTCGCGTGGCCATATGAGAGCATTTCGGGAGGGAGAGCGGACTCTCCACACTCTCGGCCGTACCAGGGCATTTTGGGGCTGTTACTACCCCTCGTGGAGGAGCGTAGGACGCCCACCAGCATTCTCCATCAAACTCTATCCTGGGCAGTCCTTTTCGATTGTTTCCAGTTGCTATTCATTCTCTTGATGTCTGTTTCCGATTCCCAGCGCAGTGTGTTCTTTGGTTTTCCTCTTCTTCGTTTCCCTTCAGGATTACAGGTTGGCTCTTGCCTCGTGGTTCAGTTTGGGGATTTACTCAATGTATGTCCTACTTACCTCCAGCTTCTTTTCCTAATTTTCTCTTCAGATGGAAGCTGGTTTGTTCTCTCCCACAGTAGATTGTTGCTGATGGTATCCGGCCAACGGACATCGGGTATCTTGCGTAGGCAATTGTTTAGAAATACTTTTACTTTTCTGATGGTTGTAGTAGTAGTTCTCCAAGTTTCAGCTTCGTGCAGTAAAACTGTTTTGACGTTCAAATGGAAGATTCTGATGTTGACTGACAGTTGTTTTGAGTTCAATATGTTCCTCAACTATAGTAGTGTCGCCCTTTCTTTGCCAATCATTGCCCTTACTTTTGCATCAGGTCCTCCTTGTTCATTGATGATGCTGTCCAGGTACGTGGAAGTCTCCATCTCTTTCGGAGTTCCTCCATCAAATGTGATTGGGTTGGTATTTCTATGTTGTGTTTCAGGATCTTGCGTTTTCCCTGAGGAAGGCAAGTATAATAAAAAAGACAAACGAATAAGGTTAGTGAATGAGAGTAGCAGAAAATAATGAGGGAAACAGTTAAGAAAAATACAACCAGAAAAGATTATTTCAGCTAAAGTCCTCACGTGTAGAAGAAAGTAGAGGGAATTTACCACAGAACTACTGGCTTTTATTTTGAGCCATACTTGATAATATCTCAAGCCACGGTGTTGCGCTATCTCTTGGACCCCGACCAGGGAATCGTAAAATCGCGGCAAATACGATTCCTGTACAACTTCTTTTCATACCACAACAGCATTTCATATACAGTCCACCTCTGCTTTTTACAACCAGTTCCATCGTCGGCAAATAATGCACGATGCGGAATTCGCGTGGATGACATTGGTTGATGTTTCAAAATGTTGACACTGATTGAATTAACGTAGCTGTACCCAAACACACGTTGCTGAACCTCTGCATTACTAACTTGGTGTTGTCACTAGATGTCAGGAATGTTTTGGGAGACAACGATAATCAAACACAAACATCCTCGTCTTGCAGAGGTCAGGTTTCACAAACAGTGAGCAAAACTGCTCTCGCCGACGCGTTTTAGATTGGACATTTAACAGTTAGGCTAACATCACGAAGGTATGGGGCAGATTGAAAGAAACCGAAATACTCTGGACTTAGAAGGTACAAAGCTCATGGCATACCTACGGACACTGTCAACTGATTAAGTGCGGATTGCTTGGCTCAGATATCACCGTCAATAATCTTCCACTCAATGTTGAATCGATTTCAGCATACGACTGGTATTAATTTCATCAGATTGAAGTCCCAGAAAAACCCTACTTTTCTCTTGCTTTTGGCTCCAGTCTTCTAATATACCATCTGCTATGATGAATGCATCTCTGAGCCATATATCTTATTCAAAGCTAAGCATCTAGGTACTGTTTATTGTTCTGGTCGTCTTAACCGGTCATTAAATGTACTGGCATTGTTCCTTCCTTACTTCAAGAAAGTAATTCAGCCAAGCAACGTACATCCCATTATCAGTTGGGATTTAATGTGAGAAGTGCCTTTTTTCGTTTTCGAACTTGAGGTTATAGCCACACAAACATTCCTTTTCAGTCAACAAATTTTAAACTAGCTTAGCCCGAATTTGTTATTATGAAATGTAAAACTAACCGCGTCAGGGTACGAGTTACAGTTGAGGGATTACCTTTTGATTTAGAAGTCATGAGGCATACTGTGATTACATCATTGATCTTATACGTAAAATCTTTTAGTTTGTTTTATAGTCACGTTCCACAGCGCTTGTGTAAATAAGACCACTTTGTTACGTAGTAAATTAGTTGTTTGATAGGTGTATAGATATTTCTTCGGTTCTTTGAATGTAATAAATCGCTAGTTATGTTAAACCTTTGAAATCTCTAATGGTATGAAAAGTATACACTCGTAATATCATGTACCTGAATGATAATCCGTGAAAGCAACACTAATAAGAGCTTAATGTTCGATTACGTAAGTGGTCTCACAATCATTTAAACGATTCGTGGGACATATGTAACATTTATACCTTTTAGCGTGAGATATAGTGTTCTAACCATGTGGTGAGCAGTGATCTAGTTTTAACCTGAATAACTTAATTTGTATTTTAAAACAGTTATTGGCTGAATATCCAACAAGAATTTCAGTCGTTAGGACTTACATATGGTTGAGGTTTTTGCCAAATAATTATTTTCTAATGTCTCTTGATTCTAAACAGTCGGTTTACCTTTTGGTATTTTTATTTTCAGTGTTTTGATTTTACGAAATATGGTCGGTCCAGAAGATTGTGATGACGAACTAGAAGGAGAAGTGGCCGGAGAGTGTTCAAAATATGGATTGGTTGAGAAAGTGTTAATTCATCAAGACAGTGCTCATGAAACAAATGAACAATTCGTCAATATTTTTGTTGTATTTTCTGACTCGTGTTCAGTACACAATGCTGCAAATGCATTAAATAAGCGCTACTTCGCTGGGAGGCAAATAACTGCCGAGCCATACGATGTGGAAGCTTTTATGATGAATGACTTATCTCGTTAACTTTCTAGGTGTACTGTTTTTTCTAACAGCTTTGTTTCTTGTAAATACTAAATATAGACACGATTTTGATGTTATTTTCAGAGACTATTTACAAGCACTTGTTTCTAAGTGTAATGGATTATAGTGTATCTAAATTTGTTAAGCGAAGTTGAGCTGGCTAATTCCTTTACTCAATTCACATATGCAATCCGGTTCATCTAAAAAAGGTTAAGTAAAGCGTAGTTAGGGGCCTCGCCTAACCCTCAGTGTGCCAAAGATACTGTGGATGGATTTAGAGATATTCGTTAGAACAGTGAAAATTGGATATGTATAATTTACAGTAATGATGAAATAATTACTAATAGAGTAGTAGTGTAACTATAATATTATCATCTCATAGATGATTACGGAAGTGTCGAATGAATAAGTAGTTGGAAAGGTGATTAAGTAATCATTTGTAGAAATCTAATACATGTGATTTCTAGACTGTATAATATTTAATAAAAGGAGGAACTAGAGCAAAAGTTAACTTTCGAACTATTGGCTGATCACTTAATAATTATATCTATGGGGACTTAACATTCTGATGTCATCCATCCTTTTGATTTTAACAAGTATTTTTACGTGACGAAAATGTACTTTTTAGTGAAGAACTCCAAACACGTACGTTAATGTTACTTATAAATACTCGCTAATATCTCTGGCGTCAATCGAAGTTACAAGTGTTATGATTGGGTTTCAAATTAGCTACAGCCTTACCGCCTTTAATATGAATGCTGACGTTGTTTCTGTTGCTTATTATGTAAAGTGAAAGTCCGCTTCTCTGGCATAACGAGTTATATTGATTTGCCAGTCATCTGTGATTTCGTTGGGGAAAGCCGTTGCTTTATTCAGCATACTTCAGGTTTTATCCTGATTACACGGTTATGCAATATACTCCGGATTATTATCACTGTATATTTCGCTTGTCAGGTTTTATTATCTAATGATCATACCAAAATAGTCAATCGCACTTACGAGTTTAACTTTCCAATCTGAATTACTGAGTCCATCATCTAGATTTACACAGCTGGTTATTGAGATAAAACTTCCGATGGAAGACCAGACCGGAAAAAAATCGACCTGCCTTTGAAAGTTGATGGGCCTCACCAATTACAGTTCGTATGGCGAAAATCTAGACTTATGTTAATGAATCATCATGGTGTTGTTTTCTAAACTTTACATCTTGACCATGTGATTTTAGACCCTTTTAGATTGCAGACGCTCTTAATCTGAAGTTCCTATAAGTTGCAGAGGAAGGGGTTTTTCTAAGTTTCTTGTTCTAAAAAGCTACATATAACAGTTGCAGAATTTTTGAAAATATTATTTCTCTAGCCTGTGTGAAAGATATTAATTTCACGATATAGTATAGCAGCACAAAAGGTTCGTTGCTAAACATATGTCGCTGCTTAGGTTTAATACCTGCACATGTTTTTATAACTACGTGTTCACTGTAAATTTTTCAAAATTCATAAAGCGAATGCTACACGCCCATCTTTTTAAAGCTTCAAGTCATTAGACATACATTACATCTAACATACATACTTTTTTTCAGTCTATGGTTTCACGGATGACAGTTCCGTCCTAATATGGTACCCCGCAGCAGTGTGCATCCATGGCCCGTACGCGGGAATTGAACCCAGCAGTCCGCGTGAGAACACTTAACCCCCAGATCACTGGGAATCCATCTGACGATGTTAATGTCTAGCTTCAGTCGATTCACTGTATTATCAAACCCTCCATGCCTGAGGTGGATAACCCACACCCGACATGGATAGAACTCCACTGGTCACGGCTTGTCAGCAGGACTTAAAGATTTGCATCTTGAGGCTATTCACTGTTAAGTACATGATTATAGGGTATCTTGGAGATTGTGGAACCGACTGGAGTTGGACATTATCATTGTTGAATGTGGAATCAGTGGTCCCAAACTAGGACGAAACAGTCGTTCAGTGCTTTCAAGTTCTCAATGGTGACCTATGGTCAGTCCGTACTTTTAAACAATGAAAACTCTACATTATTTTCGAAATCCTATGCTTATTTGTAATCTGTTTATAGGATTAAAAAAAATTACAAATCTCGTGACAGTTATTTACAGTCACCTGACTTTATCATTTATTAAGTTGACTCGGATGATACATAGTTTTTGTCATGCTACCATATCTTGTAAGTCGCAAAAGGGAAAATAGACATAAATGAGAAAGCAACTATTCATTCGCATCGTCTGAATTCCACTAGCTTCGGGTACTTACTATTTAGAAACTCGATAATTTGGTACCGCAGTTCTACATTCTGAGGACCGCAAATTTTCAGTGTGTATTATGGTCACCGAACCGAACTGATTCGCAACATGTGACTCAGTCGTTTATACTGAAAGCCGACATAAAATCTCCAGTAGTCGGTCCTATCTGCACATTGTATATTCCCAAGTCATTGCGTGTCAAAGACTTGAATGCATTTTACGTAAGACTACAACAGAATAAAAGCAAGCTTATTTTAAGGCAAAGAAACATGTGATCAACGCCACTAATCTGAAATGTAATCCAAAAAGTGACGCGTCAGTGTCATATTGTCGAACCTGTCCATTAATTGTGTTTAGAAAGCAATTAAGTGTCATCTCACAATTCGGTTTTCGAAGCACACTTGGGATTTGCTCCAATATTACGCAGCATGTAAAAGCTATTGTTGGTGAGTTCTAAACAATCCTACCGTACAAGGAACTACTACCAAATATTCTGTGGGACGTGAGTCACTGTCTAATTAGTTGTTGGAATTGCTTGGTAAGTACTAGGAGTTTGGTACATGGTCTCGTAGAAAGTCGTCTTTTTCGTTAGCTCTCTTGCTATACAGAAGGTTCGTTGCTAAACATATGTCGCTGCTTAGGTTTAATACCTGCACATGTTTTTATAACTACGTGTTCACTGTAAATTTTTCAAAATTCATAAAGCGAATGCTACACGCCCATCTTTTTAAAGCTTCAAGTCATTAGACATACATTACATCTAACATACATACTTTTTTTCAGTCTATGGTTTCACGGATGACAGTTCCGTCCTAATATGGTACCCCGCAGCAGTGTGCATCCATGGCCCGTACGCGGGAATTGAACCCAGCAGTCCGCGTGAGAACACTTAACCCCCAGATCACTGGGAATCCATCTGACGATGTTAATGTCTAGCTTCAGTCGATTCACTGTATTATCAAACCCTCCATGCCTGAGGTGGATAACCCACACCCGACATGGATAGAACTCCACTGGTCACGGCTTGTCAGCAGGACTTAAAGATTTGCATCTTGAGGCTATTCACTGTTAAGTACATGATTATAGGGTATCTTGGAGATTGTGGAACCGACTGGAGTTGGACATTATCATTGTTGAATGTGGAATCAGTGGTCCCAAACTAGGACGAAACAGTCGTTCAGTGCTTTCAAGTTCTCAATGGTGACCTATGGTCAGTCCGTACTTTTAAACAATGAAAACTCTACATTATTTTCGAAATCCTATGCTTATTTGTAATCTGTTTATAGGATTAAAAAAAATTACAAATCTCGTGACAGTTATTTACAGTCACCTGACTTTATCATTTATTAAGTTGACTCGGATGATACATAGTTTTTGTCATGCTACCATATCTTGTAAGTCGCAAAAGGGAAAATAGACATAAATGAGAAAGCAACTATTCATTCGCATCGTCTGAATTCCACTAGCTTCGGGTACTTACTATTTAGAAACTCGATAATTTGGTACCGCAGTTCTACATTCTGAGGACCGCAAATTTTCAGTGTGTATTATGGTCACCGAACCGAACTGATTCGCAACATGTGACTCAGTCGTTTATACTGAAAGCCGACATAAAATCTCCAGTAGTCGGTCCTATCTGCACATTGTATATTCCCAAGTCATTGCGTGTCAAAGACTTGAATGCATTTTACGTAAGACTACAACAGAATAAAAGCAAGCTTATTTTAAGGCAAAGAAACATGTGATCAACGCCACTAATCTGAAATGTAATCCAAAAAGTGACGCGTCAGTGTCATATTGTCGAACCTGTCCATTAATTGTGTTTAGAAAGCAATTAAGTGTCATCTCACAATTCGGTTTTCGAAGCACACTTGGGATTTGCTCCAATATTACGCAGCATGTAAAAGCTATTGTTGGTGAGTTCTAAACAATCCTACCGTACAAGGAACTACTACCAAATATTCTGTGGGACGTGAGTCACTGTCTAATTAGTTGTTGGAATTGCTTGGTAAGTACTAGGAGTTTGGTACATGGTCTCGTAGAAAGTCGTCTTTTTCGTTAGCTCTCTTGCTATACAGAATTAGTGATTATTAGCAGTAAGGAGATATCGCTAATGAGAAATTCGCTGAGAAAATGTGAACATGTTTCTTTGAATACAACAGGTAGTCAGTACTGCTAAAACATGACTTCTCATTGGTTTCCTGATCCGAACTCAAAGCCGATTCAACAGCATAAATTACGACCACTATAACCACATAGATTTTAAGTCAATAGGAACCTTATTTGGGACCGACCATCTGGGTTAAAACTTCGGGCTTGGACAACGGTTAGTGTAGACCGCTTTATAAAACCATCTGGATTTTTAACTTCAGTGGTAAGAAGCATTTTGAAGATGCATTATATAATAAACATTCTTTACGGACAAATGACCTCGTTGCTGTTAATTGAAAACATCTAAGACAATCTTCGACTTATTCTTCAACTCGGTTCGGTTTTCATATCGAAGATAAAAAACATTAGGCATGATTTCCCATAGGTATGAGCTCTTACAAGGATAATCAACTTGCATTTCCTTAAACTATTCAAGGTAAGATTTCTACACTCACAGAGATTGACATAAAAGTAAAGTTAGAACCTGCATCATACTACTGAAGTCACATAAAATACCTTAACGGTAATATCATTAGTGCGATACATACATGGGAATTAAACAGGACATTTAACTGCCTTTTTTAGTATTGTTGTTATTGGCAATACTTTTGCCGGATGATATAATTTGAAGAAACAGCAAAGAAATTGTAGACAGGAATAAGTAATCCATAGTTTACTCGGAAGTAATTTTACAGAACTACTGAGATGATACACTTTTGTTTATTTCTTAAGTTGTGATTTCTAAATAGTTCTAAAAGATGTGCTCTTCATGAAAAAAGCAAATTAGTGTTGGACGATATAGGTATGTGGAACCCGACTATATCCTAGAAAGCTTCTTCGTCCGATAATTTCCCCGATGAAAAACCAGCAGAGTACTTCTACTGTCACAACAGCATTAACAAGCCCTTCCTAAAAATAAGTAAGAGTGCATCAATTTATACCTTGACGGAAACATTTTTCCAAGCACCACTTTTGAATGAGCAAATCAGCTTTGTTGCTTGTTCCATTGCTGGCTTGAGATCTGCTTGTGTTGGTGGCCTTAGTTCCACCCTTGCATATTCTCGGAACTTAGTCAGTCTTGGTGAAGTTTCCTGTATAACGAAGGAAGAAACCTCTACAGGGCTCAAAAAAGAAGGAAAACATACTCGAAGCTAAATTAATCACTCTGGTTAATCTATCCGCCATTTTATGGGCCGCCAAAACGTCAGTGACCTTGCTAGGTACAAATGGTTGAGGACGGAATAGAAGAAGCTTTCGCTTAACGGGCTTCCGTGTCTAGTAGCAGTGGATCACCAATACCACAAAGCAAAAACCTAGGTATATGAACGATAATAGAGGAAAAAAAAGAATTTGGTAAATCATAATAATATGTTATCCATAGTCCTTAAGAATAAGCCAAGTTTCCTCTTAAAGGACTCCTGGGAGGTCGCTTGAACTAGGTCAGTCGGTAGCGAATTCCAGTACCTGACAACTCTTACGGAGTAGAAGTTGTGTCTGCAGTCTGTTCTGCTATATTGGGTCTCCAGTTTCTGGGTGTTACCTCTTAGGATAGTGTTGTGACTAAGCTTAAGAAGATGTTTCAGGTGATGGCCAGAAGTATCAAGGATGCTGTAAGTCATAAGAAGGTCACCTCTAAGACGCCTACACTCTAACGGACACTCTGGAACGTATACAACGTCGAGCCACGAAATCAGTTCGGGGACTGAAATTCAAATCTTATGAAGAGCGCCTCAAATCACTTAACCTTTACCCGTTAGAGTACAGGCGTCTTAGAGGTGATCTTCTTATGACTTATATTATCCTTAATACTTCTGGTCATCCCCTTAAACACCTTCTTAAGCTTAGTCATAACAATAACCTGAGAGGTAACACCCAGAAATTGGAGACCCTACATAGCAGAACAGACTGCAGACACAACTTCTACTCCGTTAGAGTTGTCAAGTACTGGAATTCGCTACCGACTGACCTAGTTCAAGCGACCTCCCAGGAGTCCTTTAAGAGGAAACTTGGCTTATTCTTAAGGACTAAGGATAACATATTATTATGATCTACCAAATTCTTTTTTTCCTCTATTATCGTTCATATACCTAGGTTTTTGCTTTGTGGTATTGGTGATCCACTGCTACTAGACACGGAAGCCCGTTAAGCGAAAGCTTCTTCTATTCCGTCCTCAACCATTTGAACCATTTGAACGGGTAAAGATGAAGTGATCGTAGGCGCTCTTCATATGATTTGAATTTGAGTCCACGAACTGATTTCGTGGCTTGACGTTGGATATGTTCCAGAGTGTCCTTATCTTTTTGGAGCGAGGGAGGAAATACTACGTTTCCATACTTTAGATAGGGGCGAATAAAACTGTTGAAGGTTATGTAGAAAGTTCTTCCTTCAAACTGGTCAAAAATGAGCTTCAATGTTACCAGCGCAAAGTTAGCTGGAAAGGCGTTTTTTTCACAATTAGCATAAGACTTTGAATCGTAGGGTACCAACAATCCTAAATCTTTTTCGACTTGAGAAGCTTCTAGAGAGGAGTTTTCTAAGTTGTAACTATAGTCTCCAACATGTCGCAGATGGACTACTTTGCACTTCGAAGTGTTGAAGGTAAGTCCGTCGTCGTCTGCTCAACTTTGAAGTCCAGTCAGATCCTCCTGAAGTGCAAGTATATCCATATGATTACATATCTCTCTCCAAAGTTTCACATCATCAGCAAAAAGCAATAAGTCAGATGAAACTTGTTGTGAGAAATCGTTAATGTAAATCAAGAAGAGAAGAGGTCCCTTGGGGACCCCACTAGGACATTCCGTAGCCTGAGAGAGAGTGAACCGTGACCTTAAAATGTCGATTTTATAGATATGAAGTGAGCCAGTCACTCCGAGGGGGTGTTGGATACTCAATCGTCTAAGCTTATTAATAAGACATGTGGTTGACCCTATCAGAAGTCAAAGTAAATGACGTCAACTTTCCCCTTGCGATCAAGGATGGTTGTCCATCTATCCACCGCAGTCAGCAGGTTGTCATACAAGAATGACCCTTTCTGAAACCGTGCTGTTAGGATGAGAAGAACTTTAAGGATGATAAGTATTCTTTTATACCGTCGTATATTAGAGATTCCATAATTTTAGAAGGTATGGAGAGAAGGGCCACTGGTCGGTAGCTTGAGGGTTCACTGCGTCGACCTCCTTTGAAAATCGGTGTGATGTGAGCCAACTTCCAAATTTCCGGCAATTTGCCTCGGCTTAGTGAGTGTGAAAACATCACGCTAAGTGGTGAAGCTAGGATTGAAGCTGCTTCCCTCGATGTAACAGAAAGAACCATATCCGGACAGGGAGAAGTGTCTTTTCTTAGGTGCTGCAGTTTACGGAGCACCAGGTCAGTACTCAGGTCCATTTCAAAAAGTCCTGTAGAGGTGCAGTAGAAGCTATCGTCAGTTTAGTTGATGTGGGTCTGCTGGAATGTCTGTGAGTATTGTTCAGCCAAAAGGTGTCCAATGAAATTCTAATTAGCTTGAAAATTCACATCTTCCGGCTCCGTTTAAACTTGGTGTAATGGGTGTCAGCCTGCAATTTTCTGGGGCTGTGTCTTGGCTTAGAGAATGTGAAAACACCACACTAAACGGCATTTCCAAAATTGAAGCCACTTCTCTCAGAATAGTAGAGTGAACCATATCTGGTTCTGGAGAAGTGTCTTTGTCTAAATGCTGCAGTTTCTAACAAATCAGTCCATCGCTAAGCTTTTTACTTGTGAAAGTCCTAATGAGCCGTGAATAAAGATCTTGTCCATGCAGTTTGTAAATGACGGTTGAAATTTTTGAAAATAATGTTCTGGCTGGTCGGCGGTATCACCGCCGTTGTTGGTTGGGCCATAGGGACCTAACAACTAGAAATTCTATTTTTGATTTGTTCAAGAGAAGCTGTATGACAGAATAGGCTTGACGGACTTCAGACAAATTTACGGATTAGTTTTACCCGGTACTGAAGCCTACCTTTTATTATTGCCTTAGTGTATCATTTCCTTACTTGTTTGATCCGCCCATTATGTTGTTGTCACTAGTTCATTTGTATTCCACCCAGTAGTGCCTTTTGTTTCTTAGCACTCAATTTGGGTACCGTTTGTAGGACAGACTGTTTTATAGCACATAAGTTCGTATGCAATAAGAAATACTGATGAAAGTCCACTTTCATTTTGCGGTGGACTTCCCGTTACATCTAATGTAAATTTTCCTTGAAGCTGGTAACCTCTGAAATTTCAAAGCCTGTTGTTAGTTGGATGTTTTAGCTCAGTTATGTAGTGAAATTGAAGGCTTGGACTGCATGGTTACCTTTTACAAGGTAGATCAGAATTGAGAGGTTTTGATTTAGTGATTCTTCATTTAAAAATATGCATTCTAGGCCTGGCGACGTTCGGCTGTTTCTCCAATGACTTGCTAACTCCAAGATTTTAAGTAATTTCAAATTTTTAATGAGGTTGGAGAACTAATTTTAGTAAAGTTGTCACTTTCAATGTACATGTGTTCAATGAAGTTGACCTTAGGGAGATTAAAGTTACCTAGAACAGAGCGCTATAATCCCCCCAACATACGATTGTCATACTCGGTGTCAGCAGTTGGTTTCCTATAGACGATTTCAGCTAGATACCTCGAGGTGTTAGACAATCTCACTGAGCATCAAACAGATTTATCAAGTTAGGTAAACTCTTGAGTGCACAATCGATGTACTAACAAGGAAGACAGTATATACCGAGCTCTTCCGCCTACAATTCCTGTCTTTCTTACTTTTAGAAACGAAGTACTGCTGAGTATCGCTAACGGTCCCTAATTTGAGAAGATGCCTATGGTACAGATATTTCTATAAAATGAGTATTATTAGCTTTACTTAATTCACGCAACTCAACCGTTTTGTTCGGTGAACGCGCAAAGTTCGTTTACAAGTATTTTATGCTTTCTATTTGAAACATCCGAATCAGAGTTTTGTGAATGTATAGGAAACCTACTCATGCAAGGTTTCCTGAGTTTGTATAATCTGTCCCTTCTACGTTTTTTCCTTGACCCTGACAGTCCACAAGTAGAATCGTCTGTTTCGATTCGCCTTTGTGCTTAGTCTCTTAATCATGTGTCCTGTCCAGATACGTGTGAATTCCAGTTGGCAACCGGCATCTGTTGGCACAAAACGATTCGAGAGTGGCAGTCACCATGTTGAAGGATTAGGAGGTTATCCTTATTAGCCAGGGTCTAGGATTTCTGTCGTTCCTGGATAATTGGTCACTATGTTATCAGGCTTCAAGAACTGCCTTATGAATTTCCACTCTAGATTATCACAGTCTGCGTAATCAGAGTTCGTGCTTCCTAGAACACCTTACGCAATGATACCCCCTCCATGGAAGAACGTCTCGCGAGATTCCCTTGAGATTGTTTTAATGAAATTGCGCTCAGAAAATGGTGCATCAGTCAGTGCTCTTACATCCTCTTCTGTTTTCAGTGACTAATCAGCTGGCAGAACACCTTATATATCAGTAGTTTTAGTGATCGTTGAGCGAATGAGTCCTGAATGATTTTGGAGTTTGGAATCCTTTCCCCTGCTAAGTCGTACAACAGCTAGTGGCTCAATTCGGGGAAGTCCGAGATTCTTGTTTTTCTCTTCCAAAGCATCACGTAGCTTTTGCCGTGTAGACTGAGAGGAAGGTTGGAGCAGTCCGTAATGTTCATGATCATGCGAAAATCATCGTGACCATGATTATTCGCACTGATTTTCGAGTGCACTGAGGTTCTTTTTTGTTTGTTAGTCAGCAGAAGACCAGGATTTCGGTGATTTTTGTTGCATGGTTGGTCAATCCTAGGAATAGATTGCACGATCGATTCATGAGCTCATTTTCTTACAAGACCTGGGTTGTTCAGAGTTTTGGATGATGAAGTTCGGTCACTCTTATGCCTCTTAACGAGGGGACCACAGTTGCGCTTGGACACACGTTAACTAAGGGAATCCGTAATAACTTAGGTTGATTAGTTAGAAGTTTACAACTAAGTATATACTATAGTTGAAAGCGTGAGTCAATTGAAGCTAGACCACCATGGAAAGCCTGGAAACACGGGACGGCCGTTTCGTCCTATTATGGGACTCCTCAGCAGTGCGCATCCACGAACCCGCTCTCGCGAGATTCGAACCCAGGACCTACCAGTCTCGAGCCGAAGCCCT